TTGCCCACAGGCTATGGGCTTACGTCACTAAAGGTCTCCTCAGGAGCTGATTCTGATCTCGTTTCTGTTGAAGGTTATGGGATAACAAAGGTGTGTAATCAGAATCAGGCATAGGACGCACTTGATTCCATTCAAGTTCCCTTGGCTCAACAGCAAACCTGAAAGAACCATACCATGCCCTGACTTACCCACCTCTGCTCTTCCCAAATACTCAAAAGTTTTCCTTTTTCTTCATCTTTGCCAAACTGGAAGCCATTTGAGTTGCAAGATAAGAGTGTTATCAGCTTCTTAATCCTTTCTTCCCTCCAAGGAAAGATTCAGGAAGAAATGAACCATGTCATTGAACCAGGAGAGTTGCCTAAGTTGGAGGACCGGAAAAAAATGCCTTACACAGAAGCAGTGATACACGAAATACAGAGGTTTGCCAACATTGTCCCAATGGGTGTATCACGATCAACTCCCACCAATGTGAACTTCCGAGGCTATGTGATTCCTAAGGTGAGCTTTGAGGTAGCTTATGCTGCACAGATTCCTTGTGTTTCTCTTTAAAGCAGCCAAAGAAAAATATAAATAACTAAAGACACGGTGATGCATGGTTTCATTTGTGATGTGATCCTTTGTCCTGGCTCCAACTGTTCTAAACATGCAGTGGACTGTGGTCTGTTCCAGCTGTTTGAATCCTGAACAACCGTAATTAAATCACACTGGTTTGAGTCTTCAAATGTGGAACCTCTACTTCAGCATCTTTCTTGAAAGATCTGACTCTGTAAGAAAGGAATGTTTTGTGGCCCAAAAAATTAAACAGCAGCTACTGATAATGGGCAGAGCCACACTGGGGCAGGGTAGCATCCCCCACTTCTATTTGCCATGGCTCAGTCTTGTTTGCCTCTTCACATTAGAAAAAAACAGGTTGGCTTGACTAGAAGAGTGATCTCCTCTTCCATGAGTTTCTTTGATCCCTTTCAGGGTACTGAGATTATTCCACTGCTGACCTCTGCTCTGAATGATGAGTTACATTGGAAAACCCCAGACCAGTTCAACCCTTCCCATTTCCTGGATGCCAGTGGGAACTTCATTAGGAGAGAAGCATTTATTCCATTCTCCATAGGTGAGAGGAGTGTGTGTGTGTGTGTGTACCACCTGGGGCTAGGCTAATGGCAGCTCCCCCTGATTCCAAGAAAATATGACAGCCAGGGACACAGAACAGAGAAGGGACTCTTGGTAATTTCTCCTGCCCATCACTGCTTTAGATAACCACCTCTTCTTTGAGAGATACTGATTTACCCGCAGCCACTGAATAATTTAATACACCTACAGGCCTCTGTGTAGTTTGAGACCAAGTCAGTAGCACTTCTAATATACAGAGAGAAGGAAGGGACAATTTCCTACCTCAGCAGCCTGCTCTTATGGACTGTACCTCCAGTTTAGGTCTCAGACATCAACACTAACAGTTATGGTGCTGGTCATTTACTCCTCTCCTGGTTGTTTTCAGGACGAAGGGCTTGCCTTGGTGAAGGACTGGCCAAGATGGAGCTGTTCCTCTTCTTTGCAGGCTTGCTCCGCAAATTTGTTTTCCAGCCCCCTCCAGGAGTGGATAAGTCAGACCTGGATCTCACTGCTGATGTTGGCTTTACCTTGAACCCCATGCCTCACCTGGTTTGTGCTGTGCCCTGTGAATGATCAAACAACATGCTGTTAGAGTAGTGAGCACTTCAAACTTGAAAGCAAGTCTAGTTACAGGGGGAAGAGCTGTGTGTACCAGAGCTTTAGGGGAAGGGAGGCACTGGGCACTGCTATTTTTCTCTCATTCATGCCATTCTCTTGTGGTGTCTGTGTAATGCAAACCCTTCAGACAGCCCTGAGCACTGCTCTCAGGAACAGTGTGATTCATCCCTAGAGCAGCACATCAGAGATGCTGTTTTCAGGGCTGTTTGAAAGAATGAAATGGCTTCAAGACTCCTCTGTAGATGTAACCCATCAAAGGCTCTCCCCTGACAGCCTCCATGGGGAATTTCTCAGCCCAAAGTCCAAGCTCTATAGCAGAGCTGATTATTGATGGCCCAGCTGGAGACAACAGATGCTTAATGGGTCTAGAAATCTCCTCAGGACAGTTGTGCAGCTGAGCCTCAGACTGAGCTCCCATTGTGCGCTACAACCTGCCTTATCTTTATTACAGAGTCCCAGACATGAGGGTGTAACATGGGCTGATGCCAAGACCCAGGCACAGGACAGTTATCAGAAAACATCTAAGTGCTTTGGGAAGTGGGTTCATTCCAACTCACACCAGGCACTTTACGCTGAGCAGCCTCTTTATGATGGGGCAAATTTAGCAGCTTTCTGCTTCTGCTAAGAAAGGCATTTCTACCACTCCCTCACCTCTCCTGGCTTCATGCTGGCTCTGGCACTTGTCTGATCCCTCACTGGGACATCTTAGATCCCTAGACTGTCAGAAAATGACCATCCATGGCACGTGAAGAGTTTCTGAGCCAGCATGGCTAAAGTGACAAGTGTGAGGGCGATGCAGCCTGGGGCAGGGCAGCAGGACCGCCACGCTCCATCAGGGAGCTGGGAGAGGCTCAGCCCTCTCTCCATTTGCACCTCAGGGACTGTAGTTACTCTCTAGATCCTCTCTATCCTCTGCAGAGAGAGAGAGGATCCTTCAGGGGGTCATTCAACTGCCATAAGGTTGTAATTGCTCACTTTCTCCATTGACCCACGGGCTCCCAGTTCCAGACTTCACCCATGCAGCATGTGTGCTGTGATGAATAGGGACAGTATCTTCCATTTGACTTAAAATGGAGCTTCAACTCTTTAGTTGTTGTCTGTCTTCAGCTCTACACCAGATACACAACTGCTGGCATTTCAAACTGTCTTCCTCTCCAGACTTTCCTTTGTCAGGGAGAGGAAACAAGGTCTCCAGGCAGAGTAACAGATCACCCTGCACTGAAGAGCAAATACCAGTGCCACTGCTTCCTGTGGAAATTGTACTGTGCCCAGTGCAGCAGGAGCAAGGCCATTGCAACAAGAACTGCAAGTGAAATGTTGGTGCTTGCAGAAAGTGCTTTGGCCACTTATGTAGGACCCAAAGTTACAAATGCAGTGCTGATAATGCTCATGTTCTGCCACCACTGTCAAGGCTAATAGGATTTTAAATGCAGGCATTGTGAAAACAGATGTAAAACTGGTAATAGAGTCTGGAAGGAGAAGCAGGTTAGACTTTGTTACCAAGTTACTCACCTGTACCATTAACTTGTTGTATGGGGCTCTCTGTGGAAAGCTGGAGACACCCCAGAGATTGCAGCTGTCCTAGAACAGCTGTTTGATTACTACAATGAATGATTTATTTCATGTAGCAGCCATTAGGAGTAGGAACAAGTTGCTGTACCTGCAAGGCTACACTCACTGAGGGAAGCCTGATACGTGTGTGAAATCTGAATGCTGGTGCAGGTACAAGAGAGAAAGCTGCTGTGAAACAGGCAGGAAACCACAGTGGGGTAGGGAGAAGTGGGTCACTGGAGATGCTTTTGTGTTGTTTTGGAAGTGGGAAAGGATGGAATGAAAAAAGGAGAAACAAAAAGCTGTAGAGACTGGGGAAGCAATTATGGTAAATCTATAACAGAAAACTAAAGTTGCTCTCTCATCTAAAGCTGATCTGTGCTGCAAATAGAAAGAAAGAGGAAGAAGAATATGAAGGGATGATGAAGTAGGGTGGTCTTTGGCCAAGACACTGACTCTTCTCACTAGTTTTAGTTCACACAACTAAAGGCAGCACTCTGAGAGTTGTACTATTACTAGTACCTGGTACTTGTACTGGTACTGCACTTGTACACACTGTAGCACAGGGTCAGCTCCAGGTCCTGGTTACAGCTCAAGGAGTCTGCTGGGCAAGCTGTGCAACAAGGAAGCCTTCACTGCTGTGCTTGCTTATGTTTGTTTTGCTGTTGCTCTATTTGAAGTCTAACTACTCCAAGCCTGACCTTATCACCTACTTAATAATTAAATAGTTTGCTCTGTTGCTGTTGATCTATCTGGTGTTGGATTTTGGGTCAAACTGATAACGCTGGGCAGCACTACCTTGAATACACCCACACTAGAGAGGTGAGCACAAGGATCCCTGGGCAGCATGCAGCCAGGACATGTTTAGCAGCACACAGTGAGCAATACTCATGGCCACAAACAGCTCAAAGGAAATAATTGAATTTCTAACTCCTGAAAATCACAGCTGCTGTGTGAGGCAGCCGCGTGGCTCTGTGTGGGTCTCTGATGTTCTGGTGTCCTCAACACAAGAAGGATATGGAACTGTTGGAGCAAGTCCAGAGGAGGCCATGAAGTTGATAAGAGGACTGGAGAATCTCCCCTACGAAGACAGGTTGAGGAAGTTGGAGCTGTTCGGCCTGGAAAAGAGAAGGTTGTATAGAGACCTCATAGAAGCCTATCAGTATCTGAAGGGGCTACAGGGGAGCAGAGAGGGACTCGTTGTTAGGAACTGCAGTGGTATGACAAGGAGTAATGGGTTCAAATTGAAGGAGGGAAAATTTAGGCTAGAAATTAGGAAGAAGTTTTCCCTGTGAGGGTGGTGAGACACTGTCCCAGGTTGCCCAGAGAGGCTGTGGCTGTCCCAACCCTGGCAGTGTTCACAGCCAGGTTGGCTAAAGCCTTGAGCAACCTGCTCTGGTGGGAAATGTCCCTGCCCAGGGCAGGGGGTTGAGGCTGGATGATCTCTAAGCTCCATTCCCACCCCTAAAGTTCTATGATCTATGATGTGGCTCTTACAGTGGTTCCTGTGTCTCTTGCCCTTGTCTACAAGGAACTCATCACAGTAAAAGCCAACAGGAGTTAGCTGAGGCTGCAGTGCTGGTCAAGAATGGGACTGGCAGGGTAGGCACAGAGATTTGGGGGAGGATTTAAGTTAAAGGTTGCAGGGCTGGTGCTTTGCTTGCTGTCTCTCCCCAGGCTGACTAACTGGCAGTGCAGTGCTTGCACTTAGGGGTCTGTGGCCGATGCCCAACACTCCACGTCCCCAGCAGCACCCCCTGGTTCACATGCAGTGGCAGGGGATTGGCACGTGGGCACAAGGGATGGAGGACAACCAGGCTGGGAGCACCCTGAGGGGCCTGGCTGCCCCAGGAATGCACCCAGAGCAGTGTCAGTGCCTGGCAGGTGTTTTGTGCTGGGCTCTGTGTGCTCAGGCGGGGAGCACGTAGCAGCGTGGCTGCGGAGCGAAACACGTACCAGACACATTATTGAGACTGGAATTTCTTGTCATCGAAAGAGCTTTACTTACCTTTGTCATTTTAATGCATTACACTCAGAGCCTGGTTTGAAAAAAAACCAATACACTCCCCCTGGCTTTTCAGAGATAATTTGAGTCTTTTCTGAAAGGCCCTTGTACAATTTCAGGGCAAGGATGAAATACCAGGAGCGTGGCAGCAAACCCAGAACTTTAGCACTGCAGGTGCTGCTGGTCAAAGAAAGCCCTGCAGGAACAAACATCTTGCCCAGGATGCAGAGCATGTGCCATCTCATGTTTTCATCTCAATGCCCACGTTCTGCATCCTGTGCCAGCTCTGATAACTCCTGCCTGTCTTTACAGCCCCTCAGCCTCTGCTCACTGGAGCAGGCAGGGTTGAGTCATCCTCGGCATGCTCTGGGGGAAACCGTTGCCTCCAGCCCATTTCTGGGAAACTAATAAAGAAATAAATCCCAGAAATGTTGCAACACACTTGCTGCTTCTGCTTCTAGGCAGCTGTTGTGCTGTAACATCTCCATACCACACAGGCAGCTCCAGTGTGCAACCCAGGAGCGGTGTGCTCTGGGACCCTGCTAACCATAGCTGTGCCCCACTGTGGATCACGTCCTTTTCCTTCCCTGCCTTCTATGCATTTGACAGGCTGAGGGCCCATATTTACTGAATAATGGCCTTTATATGATCCAACCTTTAGACAAATGTACCTTTAGCCTTGTGCTTCCTCATCATGTAAGACACTTCTTTCTTACCTGAACACTCTTGTTCCTTTGGCTGTTTATTCCCAACTTGCTCCTGAAAACCACTATTCAACCAGGCAGACCTCAATTATATCTCTACAAGGTTTGAGGGATGCAAGCTCCATATCTTTGTTTAATATCTTTGACTTAAAGTCATTCCATTCTCCAGCCTTGTTCCCCTCCTAGAGCCTGCCAGATCAGCTGGCTGCATTGACTTCACTGACTTCTTCCCTCTATCTCTTAGAAGCTGTTCTTGCAAAATGAAGAATCCTCTCAGAAGTTTCAAATCTAATTTTGCCTTTCCACTCCACTCATGAATCCACTCATGATCACTTGATCCAAGCTAATTTTCCATGGCTAGCTATTACACGTCCTCTACCTCAGACACAAAGTCTGAAATCACATCCCTTCTGGGCGGTTCAGAGCTGACTTTATGAAGAAGTTTATGGGCTACAACCCCCCAGGGATACATGGGCTTTACCATTATTAACAACCTTTGATCTCCACTTGACATCAAGCAAGCCAAAGTCCCACAGCAATCCTGGTTTTTCTCTGTAGTAACACAGAGATCTCAAATCTGAATCTGGAGGTTTCTACTAGGATTCAAAGAAACCTTTTCATTTTCCTGTGTCAGCAGAGTGTTTGGAGGGTCATAGTGCTGCTAAAGAAGGACCTTGAGGTCTCAGGGGAGGAGGAGGTTATAGAGGAATGCCAAGCACCTTTTCCCATGTATATGTTCTTGCACACACATGCATGGGGTTGTAATTTGAAACTCTCTTTACTTCTGGACAGGCTTTGCAAACTGCTTAGACCACATTCTCTGAGGTGTTTAAAGAGGGTGGAGTATGCAGTATTTATTTAGGTACTCTACAAACTTTAATAAGAATCGAGTGCTTGTAGCAATCGCAGAGAGCAAACAGAAAGCCAGCTGGCAGAAACTGAACAGTGCCACTGCATTTTTATTGCTCCTAGCCCCCCAAAACCAGATTATTACTTAAAAAAAAATGTCTTTTTTAATTTCGTTTCTCTCTGATCCTGCATTAATTGGCCTGCTCTGTGCAGCAGTATTATTAGCTGTAGTCTATTTTTCAACCAGCTATAAAAATTCAGCTTTTAAATTACCTCCTGGTCCAACTCCTC